AATGCGTAGTTAGCTGTTTTTGGTTGGCGTGCTCTGTATATGTCTACTAGGTCCATCTCTTCCAGTTTTTCATTTAAGTCCGCTGTTTCTTTGTTGACTTTTTGTCTGGATGATCTATCCATTGCTGTAAGTGGGGTTTTAAGATCCCCTACTATTATTGTGTTGTTGTTAATATCTCCTTTTAGGTTTTTCAATAGTTGCTTTATGTACTTTGGTGCTCCTATGTTGGGTGCATATATGTTTATAATTGATATGTCTTCTTGGTGGAGTGTGCCTTTTATAATTTTATATTGCCCTTCCTTGTCTCTCTTAACCTATTTTATCTTGAAGTCTACTTTGTCTGATATGAGCGTGGTAACACCTGCTTTCTTTTGTTTGCCATTAGCTTGGAGTATTGTCTTCCATCCTTTCACTCTGAGCCTGTGCTTGTCTTTAGTCCTGAGATGTGTTTCCTGGAGGCAGCATATTGTTGGGTCTTGCTTTTTAATCCATCCTGCCACTCTGTATCTTTTGATTGGAGAGTTCAATCCATTTACATTTAGCATAATTATTGATATATGAGGGCTTAATGTTGCTGTTTTGTCACTTATTTTCCAATTCTTTTGCATTTCCTTTGTTTCTTGTACCATTTGTTTCAGACTGCCAATTCTGTTTGGTTGTTCTGTCTTATAACTCTTCTAGTTTTCTCTTTGCTTATCATATGTGATTTTGTTTTGATTATTTGTTTAGTGGTTACCTTGAGGTTTGTATAAAAATCATGTGTATGAGATAGTCCATTATCTGATGGCCTCTTATTTCCTTATACTAAGTCAATTCAATATCTTTCCTCTTCCTCTTCTAAGTCATTCTTATTACAACTTATTCTATCTTTTGCTGTGGGTATGTGTTTACAGTGATGAGGTTATATTTATTTTTGGTGAATTCTTTCCTTTGATCTTTGATTTTGGTATTTAAGTGGTTGCTAACCTATTCCAGTAAAGATCTAATATTTTTCTTATTTTGTCTACCTATTTTTCTCCTTTCTCCAACCTTTGTACTCCCTTTCTCTTCTTTTTATCAGGCCTGAGGGCTTTCTTGTGTATTTTTTGTAGTGGGGGTCTCGTGGCCATGAACTCCCTTAGCTTTTGTTTATCTGGGAAAGTTACTATTTCTCCATCATATTTGAAGGATATTTTTGCTGGATAGAGTATTCTTGGCTGAAAGTTTTTGTCTTTCAGTATTTTGAATATATCATTCAAGTCTCTACTAGCCTGTAAAGTTTCTGTTGAGAAATCTGCTGAGAGCCTGATGGGAGTTCCTTTGTACGTTATTTTTTGTTTTTGTCTAGCTGCCCTTAATATTGTTTCTTTGTCATTGACTTTAGCGAGCCTTACCACTATATGCCGTGGAGTGTGCCTTTGCCAGTTGACATATTTAGGTGACCTATTGGCTTCACTTACTGGTATTTCCTGCTCCTCCCCCAGATTTGGAAAGTTCTCAGCTATTATTTCCTTGAATAGGCTCTCTGTTCCTCTTTCCCTCTCTTCTCCCTCAGGAATACCTATAATTGTTATGTTACATTTCCTAATAGAGTTGGATATTTCTCAGAGACTTTCTTCATTTCATTTTAGTCTCAGTTCTCTCTCCTCTTCCACCTGGAGCATATCTGTATTCCTATCCTCTATAATGCTAATTCTTTCCTCCATATTGTCAGCTCTGTTCTTTAAAGATTCCAGATTCTCCTTTATCTCCATTGTGTTCTTCATCTCCATCAGTACTGATTGGGTTTTCTTTATGATTTCAATCTTTTTTGTGAAGAAACTCCTAATCTCATTGAATTGTTTGTCTGTGTTATCCTGTATTTCATTGAGTTTTTTTGTGATAGCTATTTTGAAATCTATGTCCTTTAGGTTATAGATTTCTATGCCTTCAGGGTTGGTTTCTGGGTGCTTCTCATTTTCCTTCTGGTCTGGTGATCTCATGTACCTTTGCGTTGTACTTCCTGTATTGGCTTTGTTTTTCCTCATCCCGGAAATATCTGGTTGCAGTTTCTGCCTGCCATCACTGTGTGGGGGTCAAGGGCTGTGTAATCTGAGCCCCCTGCACTCCACCCCAGCTGCTTTCTGCAATTGGCCTGGCCGCTCTGTCTGGTCTGGTCAGCTGAGCTGCACTGTTGGGCATGCAGGGAGGGGAGGCTCTCTCTTTTGCCCCCTGGGTCCCTGGCATGGGGGGCTTCTCACTCACCATTCATTATCTGCTCTCCTGGGGTGCCCAGATGTTGATGGCACCCCTGCAGCAGTTCTGTGTCATCTGTGTGGGAGTTTCCCACTGGCTGAGAGAGCCCGAAGAGCTATGGTTTCCCTGCAGAGGGCCGCCCCTCCCCCCTCTCTGTGAGCCGAGTGGACCTGGATCGCTGGTCTGATGGGGAGGGAGAGGATTTATCCTTACCTCTCCCCACTTCCTCCAAGGGCCCCAGCACGTCCACTGTCAGATGTGTGGCAGTGTGGATCTTTCTGATCTTCCTTTTTGCTGTCTAGTAGTCCATTATTGGTCTATGACTGTCCCTTTTGTTGTATCTTTTCGGGGGAAGAATTTATGGGAAAGCTCACTTCGCCATGATGCTGACATCACTTTTCATGGAGTTTTATAAATTGATTATTGTATTTTTCAGTTCTAAAATTTCCAGCTGGTTCTTCTTTATATCTTCTATCTCTTTTCTGGAACTTTCTATTGTTTCATTTGTTTCAAGCATGTTTGTAATTGCTCATTCAAATATGTTAATGATGGCTGCTCTACATTCTTTGAAAGATATTTCTAATACCAGTGTCATCTTGGTGTTGCGTCTATCGACTTTTTTCTCATTCAAATTGAGATTCCTGGTTTTTGGTATGAAGAATGACTTTCAATTGAAACATAGATATCTTGAGTGTTTTGTTATGATATCTCTGAATCCTGTTTCAGCCTTCTGTTTTAGCAGTTCTCCCCTGTTAGAGCTCTGGAGAGGGGAAAGGGAATACTGCCTCATTATTGTGAGGTAAGGCTGGAAGCATAGGTTCCACTAGCACCTGGGATGAGAGAAGCTCCTAATTACTGCAAGGGTCAGGGGTGGACCTCTCCAGTAGGCCTCTACTCATATCACCCTGGTGAGAGTTGAGTTGTGGCTGCATATTTTTATGTTGCTTGGCTGAAATAGAGAAGTTATTGTTTAATAGTGTACTCTCTTATTAGGCTGTTCCTTTGGCTACAGCAGTCAGGCTTTCCTTGATGACTTCTTTTTGTCTGCTCCATTTGGCATTTCTGAGTTGCTGGCTTCTCTGGCACCCAGTTTGGGATACATGAGGCAAAAAGAAAATTCTGACACTGTCTACCTGGAGTTAGAATGAGATCTCACAAGTAAAAGGGGTCAGCCCCACATGTCTGCTTCTACTTCAACACCAGATGCAAGTCCTAGACCACCCATACTTCTGACTGACTATAAATTGAAGGTTCCCATGGCCCTCTCCTCAGATCTGATAATTTGCTCATTTGGGTCTCAGAACTCAGGAAAACTTCACTTATGTTTACTTGTTTATTATAAAGGATACAACTCAGGAACAGCAAAATGGAAAGAGATGCATACGGCAAGGTATGTTGTGGGGAGAGGGATATCATAGCTTCCATGGCCTCTCCAGGCATGTCATCATCACAGCAAATTGATGTGTTCACCAACTTAGAAGCTCTCTGAATCAAAGGTTTCATAGCGTTCCATCTCCAGCCACACTACTCCCTTTCCTGGAGGTCTGCAAGTAGGGCTAAAAGTTCCAACTGTCTAATGGTTTGGTCCTTCTGGTGACCTGCTCCACCTGAAACTGTCTAGACGCCCCACCCTAAGTCACCTCATTAGCATAAACTCAGGTTTGGTTGGAAGAGGATGAGTAACAAAAAATATTCCTATCACTCAGGAAATTCCAAGGTGTTTAGGAGCTCTGTGCCAGAAACCAGGGACAAAGACCAGATTATTTTTATGATGTTATACTACATATGTGTACCATTTTTGTGCTTTTTTCTAATAAATGAGTGATTAAAGTAGTTAATAAATTTATGTATTTACTCTGCCATATTTATAGTAAACACTAAGTTTGTTTTAAATGATCTTTGAAGGAATGACGTTATTACATTATAATGCTGTCAGCACCGACATGTTCCTTTGTAATTACTTCATTATTTTTATGTGAGATTATCTTTTCCCATTCTGAGATAAGTTTACTACTCATTTCTATTTTCCTCTTATTTTTCATTTCTTAAACTGTTATATCTCAATGTAAAATATTTTAATTAAAATGTGAGAAATTGTGTACCTTTTCTTCTTGAGCCAATTAATTTTTTAATGATACTAGTTTAAAAATCCTTTATCCATTATGTTTCTCAAAATTTTTAAGAAAAAGAAAAATAAATAAAGCTTAGACTCTGTTTTATTATTGTGTTTTGTAGGAGGGCCAAATTTTAACAAGTCTATTTTTAACAAGTCCATTATATTTTTGGAGAAAGAATTAGAAGAGTAGGCTAATGAACAAATAAATGTTTTACTTTTATTACAAACTCATCTCCTTGCAAACCACTGCAAGACTAAATACTTCACTTTTTTTGTTTTCTTTGTTTTTCTTATTATTCAGGTTGTTCTGACCTACTTTTTAGTGTATATTTGATTCTTTCTTTTTTTAACACATATTATTGCAGACCAGATTCTGGTCTAATGAAGAAGCTTAGATTCTCAAGTATCAGAAATAAATTTAAATATCTATAACAAAATTCATAATAAAAAATGATAGTGAAGCAAGTATTCCTTTGACCAACAGAAATTCTGACCTTTGAATCTTAAAAGCATGATACAGTAACCAAAATTTGTAATATTAATTATAAACAAAAAATCTTAAGATGTTTTTCTCTCTCACTTTCTCACTCTTTTTCTCATGCACACACACACACACAGACACTCAGACACACACAGATCGTATACAGAAGCAAGTAAGATTTTTATTTACCTGATTCTCACCACATATAGTGCCATCAACTGCATAAGTTATATCCCTTGGTGTAGCTACTGTTTGATTTCTTAATACTGCTGACATACATATATGGCCTCCAAGGTAAGTATATTGAATATCAAAATTTGAATGAGGTACTATCTCTGAATGTGTCCAGTGACAAACCATCTTTCCACAAAGGGTACTCCTAGCAATATACAGCAGAAAAAGTTGTCCATATGTCACTTAGAGATACAATATATTAAATAAATAACAGTTAAAAATACGAGAATAATTAAAAATGTTACTCAGATCATAACACCAAAGCTATTCAGAACATATACCATCTTATGACATGCAACATATAAATTCATCTGTATGTACTAAGTTCATCATTCGTTTGTATTAAATGACTCTTTGCAGTACACACACACACACATACACATGCATTTGGAAAAGGTGTAATTTTCTAAATACACACTTAAAAAAACAAGACCTCCTATTACAGTTTCCATAGTCATCTGCTTGAAAATTCACTTCTTGTGCACATAGATAAGTAGAACCTTTAGCAACTGAAAAAATAAATAAAGTTCCAATTAGTCATCTTAAGAAAAAAAACATTAGAAACCAAACATGTGATAAATTAATACGGAGATATCTAGGGAACAGCAATGCCCAGTCAATGTAATCTACTATGAGGTTTTGGTGTTATCTACCAGCTATACAAGGAGAAGCACTAAAAACTACCCACTTGGGGAAAAAAAAAGGTGTCAAGGTGTAGAAATGATTAAGAAGTCAAATTGTCATTTGCTCTCTTATCTACAATTCTAAAATCAACTCCCTTTCAACCAATCACCTAAAATTTGACTAATATCCTATTCTTTTTGTCTTGTACTTGTGAGGTCTATTTTACCTCTTGACATAGTTCAAAGTTGCTTTGATTTTCAGTTTTATGTTTAAATTTGATTTTAAAAAACAGTACTTTTTATTATGACTATGCAGTGGATTACTGACTTTAGAAAAATATAGTTTAAAAATGAACCCCAGAAAAAAGATACAACTATTACATTTTCCAAATAACTCTACACACTGTACATCTGGATCTCGGCATGTTCCGCCAAAGCAGTAGGCAGTCTTATTACTGCATGGTTCTAAATCAGCAGATATTGCATCAGGTACACAAAACTCAGATATTCCATTGCAATATTCTGGAAAATCACACAGATCTTTGCTTTTCCTACATAGAATTCCTCTTTCAGATACCTGTGAGACAAAGAAAAACAAATATTTTTTAAAGTAGTACACCAAAAATGTAAAAAATTTAAATAGAAGCATTATATGTGTAACTATCATTTGCATTATTACTACACTTTTAACCACTTAAATATGAATCTACTTAAAAGTTCTAGTGAAATAGATTGGAAAGAACCCAATCTATTATTATATATATAGTGGAATATTTTCAGCCATATGAAGGAATAGAATACTGATACATGCTATAAGGTAAATGAACAGTGAAAACACTATATTAAGTGAAGAAAACCAGACACAAAAGGTCACATATTATATGGTTCTACTTATATGAAATATCCAGAATAGGTAAATCCATAAAGACAGAATGCAGATTGGTGGTTGCCAGAGACTGAGGGGAAGGGAGAAAGGAGAGTAAGAACTTGATGGGTCGGGGGTTTCCTGGTTGGGTGATGAACATATTTTGGAACTAGATAGAGGTGGTAGTTGCACATTGTGATTGTATAAACGTCACTGAATTGTTCACTTGAAAATGGTTAATTTTATGTTGTGTGAATTTCACCTCAATTTAAAAATAGGATCTAGTGAAAGCTCTAATAGTTAAAATGCTGTGGCTATCCTGAATATTTAGTTCAAGATAAATAGAAAATAACTGATGTAAAGCTACGCATATTTTTCTCAACCTTTGATTCTTGGGGACTAACTGCACTCCTGAAATGTTGTACTAACTCAGATGCCAGTCTTGACCACATTTCTAAAATATTACTTAATGGACATCTTTTTCATTTCTGCATTTCAAGAAATTTTCCTTTCAGGACCTACTCTACCTCCACCATGAGGGGTTATAAATCTCAAGCATCTGCTTCTAACTCAAGATGATGATCAGAGCACTTCTCCCTAGACACAGTGATTGATACAGCGGTGGGAAATTCAGTTTAGCAGGATCAGTCAGGCTTTCCTTCACTACCAAGGATTGAGACGGATGTTGGGAAAGAGAAGATCCTGCTACTTTTCTGAAATATTGTACACTACAGACTAGAAAAGCCAGGAGCTACATTGAGCAATCTCTACCACATATGGAGAAAGCTTGTTTGAGAAATGTCAACAAAAAAAGCAAGGATATCTGACAGGTGTATAGAATAAGAATCCTGTTGCACCTGTTTGAAACAAAGATTCAAGTGAGCATGAAGCTAGACTCATCTTTTACTTCAGCTTCATAAGCTTCATTTGCTTGGCCATTCATCATCAAGACACAACTGACCAGTACACAATTGGTATCACGCAGTATCAAATACAATTTTTTAAATTACATGTAGGAATATCTGAGTGTTGGTTAGAAACATGTTAATTATTTTACATGTCAGCAAAAAAGCTGGTTAAACTATTGTCTTCCATATTTTTGCACTTGGTATATGCAAGCGTATATCTAAATTGAGTGTATTGACTTGTGTATATCTAAATTGAAAACGCAAAAGAAAAAAACTGGATTAAATCACTAAATTTCAGACAAGCATTGGTGGAAACTAGCCTAATTGAAAGCAGACAGAAGAAAATAGCCTTTTACACTTATGGCCAATAATGAAAGAGCAGAGTGTAAGACACCTGTGAGCATTTAAATGACACCAAAGCCAAATTCTATGCTATAACACATAATAAAATTAAGGTAAACTAATGTAGTACATTTAGCCGTCACCCTGAAACCCTCCCTAGAAACTTGTATTGTGAATTTTCACTCCCCCAAATGTAGCAATTATCTCCATTTTAAAGAACTATACTTTGGGGTGTAGGTAGAGGGCAAAGGACTGTTTAGAAAAGCCTCATTGCTCAGTCCCACTGATTTGGAGACAACGGCCAAGATGAGAGCTCTGGTGAAGAGAAAAGCAACAAGGTTTATTGCTAAGAAGAAAAAACCCTGGGCTGGCCTCTACATTCACGCACCTTGAAAACAAATGACCACTGGCTTTAATTACTAGCCCATAGAGTGAAAAGGATCACACATAGAACAAAGTAGAATAATGTTAAGAGAGGTCACATTGACAGAGAAAAAACAAATCTGGAACTCAAAATCTCTAATTAATCAGCTTTATGTTTGTCATAGAGTCTTGAAAGTGACACAAAAAAGGTGAGCTACCATGAAGCAATCCCCGGAAGACAAATTTTACGCGGTGTCCTCTCAGATGTGGCTATAAAGGAAAATTGAATGGAAAACTTCCCAAGGGAAGTCAAGGATTCAGTCACCTTCAGGGCCAGGAGTCCTTGCTGAAAGAAAGCTTCAGTATTAGATACGCTACATATTGCTGACTATTTAACATGGACTCCTATTTTGCTATTTTCAAAATGATATTTTTTATTGTTATTGCCTGTCTATTCAAACATTTCATGTCAAGTGTGTGTTGAGTGGCTTATGTACAATTTTGCCATAAGTTGTTTGATCATGAAGAGCCACACTCAGGCATAACCAAGAGGAATTCATAGCACCCAAATGGTCTGGAATTGGTGTGGAATGCAGTAACTGGATGGGCCTTGAGTAAAGACTGAAACAATACAGAGAAAGACAGAGCTAAAAAGGAGGTGGAAAAAGACCTAAGGACATCCTCTGAATTCTAAAATCAACTATGTATCCGGGTACCTAAAGTAACATAATCGAAAGATGTGTAAAAAAAAGTTTTAAAAAATTGAAATATGTGTAAAAACAAAAAGCAAAAGTACACAAAAAAATTCATGAATTCATGAAAGAAAATAATGCAATATTTTGAAAGCTTACCAGACAAGTCTTTTCATCACAGCATGGTCCAGTGCCACACTCCGAAAAGTCAATCAGAGTACAGTTTTCAGGATGACAGCATTTTTCAAATTTGCAATGCTAAAAGCAAATATAATCCAGTTCAATAGTAGGAATTTTCAATCAAATAAATAATTTTACTTACGGTTAATTACAGTAAATGTAAGTTAAATACAATCACAGTATGATTTTTACTACTATATTTATTTTTAACAGTACTTAATATTTTCAGTATAAGAAAACAAGATAGCAATGAAATTATTTGTGATTCCATACTCAAGAAATTGACCTGTTAAAAATTTCATGCAATTTCTTTCAATCTTCTTTCTGTTAGTAAATATATGCACTGTAAGTTTTTAGATTCTTTTCATTTATTATTATCATAAGTACTTTTTCATCTTATCAAGTCTCCTCAAGATATAATTTCGAGAATATAAAACAATTTATGGATGTGACAAAATAGAAGTTTCAAAATTATAACAAGGTTTTATCATTGTGAATAATTTTTCAAAGAAAATTTCTGACTATTTTTTTAGCTATAAAATTTTATATTAAAGATTATTTCTAGAAGTTATTAGGTTATAGAGTACAAAAGTATTAAGGACTCCTTATAATATACTCATTTCCTTCTTTATGTACAGTTATCTATTCAACGTAAGAGTGATGTTTTACAAGACTGACAGCAATATTTAAAAATTAGTAAAGTGGATAGGCACAAATAACCGTTTCTATCTTTTTCAATTTTACATTTATTATTAATGTGCTAAAAAAATTGATATATCTGTACATTCTGGGTTATTTTATATTTCTATGCCTATATTTCCATTGAGGTATTCCTCTGTTTATTTCCTTTATTTGTAAGCATGTTTATATTAAAGATATTAACCCCTAGCTGCTAATATATGTTACTACATTTTACAATTTGTCATGAAAACTTACTTTTGTTTTGGCTGGGGTTTTCTTGGCAATTTTTGATACTGTGATATTGTAAAATCGAATACTTTTAAGAAATCTGAGAACTATCACCTTTTTGTGGATTTGTTCTTTGAGTTTATGGATAAAACTTTCTTCCATCCTAACCTCAGTAAAAATGTGAGTGTATAGTGTGTGTGTAAAATATTAGTGACATATATATATTTATTTTTATTTTACATTGAATGTTTGAGTGGTATGTTATAAGAGAAGCTGTAATAATGGATCTTTTTTCTCAAAAGTTAAATTTAGTTAAATGTAGTTAAATTTATCAGTTGCATTTATAGAATAATAATTTGTTCCTGATTTTTTTGTAATACCTAGATTATCTTGTAATATCTTACAAAAAATTAGATTCAATGTCTTCAATTACACTAACTGCAAAGTTGGTGTATTATTAAAGTATACAAAAAATTTATTACTGTATAACAAGTTTTAATATTTACAGGAGTCAGGTAATATTCTTTATTTCCATATTCATAATTCAATATTAAGAAAAGTGTTATGCTTCACAATACAAATATTTTAATAAAACATTATCAAGAGTAATTAGTAAAGACAGAAGATTGAACACACACTAAATATTAATACTGGGGGGAGAAAAGCAAAAATCAATGAGATGAAAGGGAAATTTCCACAGTCTAGAATCAAAGAGAGAGCCTAGAGTGGAGAGCATGATTTGACAATACTCAACATATAATGGAAATCTAGAATAAATGCCAGGCTTAGAAATTGACTTTTAATGACTTGTGGTTTAGGAATGGAATCTCATCATGGGAGGGATAGAGGCCAAAACTTTGTAAAATAGGTAGCTGTGATTTATCATTGAGAAATTATAGAAATCAAAAGGACATACCTTTACTCCCAGTAGTCCAAACTTTTATCAAATGTCTCTTCAGTATTTAACATCTTATAATTTTTATCTCTGTTAATTTAATGATATATTTTGAAAAATACTGAAATATTTCTCTATTTCTGGAGTAAACTCCAAAAGCATACATTTTTTCATATATTCATTGGGATTATTTAATAATTTTGATTGAGAAATTTTGCAAGTATTTTCCAAAGTATGAATCAATCATTCAAAGTAATGTTAAGCTGGCTATAGGAGGAATCATCAACTTTCATGATTTAATTTTATTTCTGTATGCCTGCAAAGAGCATTGGAAATTGAAATAAAAAAATATGTATACAATTTACAATGACATTCAAAAATATAAAATACTGAGTTAAATTTAAGTAATTAAAGACACACAAATAAATGGAACATACCATATTTACGGTTGGAAAATCACGACATTATGAACATGTCAATTGTCCACAAAATCATCTATAGATTCAAAAAACTCCCAAAATACCAGCAGAGGTTTTTTTTGGGGGGGGGGGCTAAAAGTGGAAAAGTTGACTCTAAATTTCACATAGATATCCAAAGACTTAGAAAAGCCAAATCTATCTTGATAAAGAAGTACAAAAGATGAAGACACATTTTACTTGATTTTGTGAGCTAGGGTAAGGAGAACTGGAATTGGTGCAAGGATAGACATATGGATCAGTGGAACACAACTTAAAGAATATGATGAATTGTTTTTCAATAAAGGTATCAAGGTAATTCAATGGGGAAAGGATAGTCTTTTCAACAAGTGGGACTAGAACAATTGAATATCTATATGGAGAAATATATACTCTGATCCTTAACTTATAAAAATTATTCAAAATTGATAACAGACACACACATAAAAGCTAAAATCAGTAAACTTCTAGAAGAACACTTATGAGAAAGCTTTACAACCTTGGGATAGATAGGACACAAGTAGGATAATAGGTAAAAGGAAAAAAAAGTGTTAATATGGATTTCATCCAATTAAAAACTTTGACTCTTTGAATGACATCATTAAGAAAATACAAAGTCAAGCCACATACTGGGAGAAAAATCTGGAAAAGGGCTTGTATATAGTTTATATTAAGAATTCCTGTAACTACATAATAAAAAGAAAAACGACCCCATAAAAATGTCCAAGATATTTGAACAGACACTTTTAAAAGGAGACATATGAATGTCCAATAATCACATGAAACACTGTCCAATATAATTAGTTATCAGGGAAACATAAATTAAAACAACAATGAGATACCAGTACACATTTGAATGACTAAAATGAAAAAGACTGACAATAACAAAAGTTGGTGAGGATAAGCAACAACTGCCACTCTCATACATAGATGGTTGGAATGTAAAATATTACAATTATTTTGGAAAGTGGTTTGACACTTTGTTATAAATTTAATAGTACAATTAACATATGACCCAGTAATTCTACACCTAGATATTTACACAAGAGAAATGAAAACCGAAGTCCACACAAAGATTTGGACATGAATGTTCTTTAGAAGTATTTTTTATAATACTCCAAACCAAAAACAACCTAAATGTTCACTAATAATTGCACGGATAAATACACTATGGTATATCCATACAAAGAGATACCACTCTACAATAAATACCAATGAACTACATATACAATCAAGCATATGGCTGAATATAAAAATATTACATAAAGCAAAAATTCCAGCATCAAAAAGAATCCATCAGCTATGATTCATTCATATGAAGTTCAATAGTGGGCAAAAATAATGAGTCATGACAGAAATTAGAAGTTTAAATATTTATGGGATTGAATTTTAGGAGGTATAGGAGAACTGTCTATGGTAATACAAATGTTCTACATCTTTTTTTGGCATCTAATTAAGGACAACATCAATCAAATTAAAAAACTCAAGAGTGACATCAGCAACATGGTGAAGTGAGCTGCTCCCTTTGTCTCCCACCCTTCAAACTACAACTAAATGGACATTCATTTATCAGTGGAGGACACCCACATACACATCAGGATGCCTGAGAGACCCATGCAGCTATACATTTGAAGGTGGATGGACTACTCCCAGGGAGGTGGTGGAGATAGGTGAGCACTCTCCAGCCCCCAGGCAGTCCAGTATAAGTGTGCAACTGCTCTCCTAGCTGGAGCACTCATAGCACCACTGCAGCCCAGAGGGTGGGAGTGCACCTCAGTGTGACTGCAGAAACAAGTGACAGCAGCCCTGAGCCCCTACATGATTGCTACCCCATCTGGTGGGAGAGTCCACAGGGTCACACAGTCCACAGGGAGCAGCTCAGGTTCAGACCCAGTGGGGAGGCCGTGCCCACAAAGCACAATGGCTGGTGTGACATAGGAGCAGATGGTGGTGGAGCTGCACACCCAGGGGAATGAGCTCCTGGCTTCCACGATTGCCCCTAGTACCACGGTGGCCCCAAGGGTGGAGTGCATCTAGGCAGGACTGTGGGAACAGGTGACAGCAGCCCTGAGCCCTTGTGAGATGGCTCTCTGGACCAGTGGGAGAGCCCACAGTCCCACCAGGGTCCCAGGGAGTGGCTCTGGCTCAGACCCAGTGGGGAGGCCCTGCCCACCAAACACAATGGCTGGTGCAACCTAGGAGCAGACGGCAGCGGGTCTGCAGCCCAGGCAAAGGAGCTCCCAGCTGCAACCAATGCCCATAGTACTGCTGCAGCCCCAAAGTGGGTAGCACATCTCAGCAGGGCTGTGAGAGCAGGCGAAAGCAGCCCTGAGCTCCCAGGTGATTGCTTTCCAATTTGGTGGCAGAGCCCACAGGGCTGCTGCAGTCCCAAGGAGTGGCCCATGCTCAGATAGGCACAGCTGACAGGGATCTCACAGGGCTCAGATTACACAGCTCCTGCCCCACTATGCCCAGTGGCGGAAGGTGGAACCTGTAACCTGATACTATCGCTATGTGATGTCACAAACCCACTCCATCAAATAGTATGAAGAAATATATTAATACTCTAGACCAGAAGGAAAAAGACAAACACCCAGAAATCAATCCTGAAGGCATAGAAATCTAAAATCTAAATGACAGAGAATTCAAAATAGGTATAACAAAAAACTAGACAAGTTACAAGAGAACTCAGAAGGATGGGTCAATGAAATCAGGAACAAAATTAATGAACAGAGGGAATTCTTCACAAAAGAGATTGAAACTATAAAGAAAAACCAATCAGAAATGCTGGAGACGAAAAACACAATGGATGAGATAAA